ATGTGTTTGGTATGGCAGCCTTTTGTAGAGTGATGCATGTGCTATTATGAAGCCCTTGTGTTTTGAGACTTTTGTGTAATGTATATGCTAAGATGTCTGTGCAAGAAAGGAATACTGGCATAATATGTACCTCATCTGTTCTCCTGGACACTTTGTGAGCGAGTTTTGAGCATTTACTAATTTTTTCAGTGTATATATTTTGTGTGTTATGGGTGTTAGGTATGTACAGTATGTTTATCATGTACAGTTCGGACTATGAACAAATCAGATAATGAACACTTTCGTGAAATATTTTTATGTTCGAACAATGAACACCTCACAGAACAAACACAAGAAGTGACGTAAAATAATGAATATTGATTGGTCTTTTCTTGTCTTCAGGCAACAATTTGAAACTTTTCAGAGTGCGGGAGATGTCGTCATTGATGTTCTACCCAGTATATACTGATCAGATAGTATTCCCCCTAAACTTTGAAACTCTCCCTTGTAATTCCAGCCTTTTATTTTTCTGACAGAAACAATTTTTTTATAGTATTTGCGAAACTCATTAAGTTTTGCGTCGGTTTTTATTTTCGAAAGGTGAGAATAATAGCAAAGGTAGAGTGGGCAGAGGTCTGATGTTGCTGGGCAGTATGGCTTGAACAGGTCTACAGATGTATATATTTTGGCCATTCATGGTCTCTCTGGAAGATCTAAACCTATATATTTTGTCAGTGTTTCTTAAAATAAATTTGTATGTGTTAATTAATTCTGTGTCTATAGTGTCATGAGTTTAGCTGTCATGTTATCATATTAATATTTTCATTGGTGCATATTATGCTGTGTACATTTTTTCGAGCAAGAGCTGTTGAGACACTGTCAATAAGTGTTTGATTTACCTTGTGATTTAATACTTCATGTGTTGATTTATCTGTTGTGCAGCTTGTTGTTTGATATGTTCATGCATTATTTGTGAAATAAGATTGTTGTATATAATTGTTCTTTTTTAATCAACAACCCTTTGATCTATAACAATGAGATGTGGGTATTTTTGTGTGAATTTATCATGTATTGTGTTTGTAAGTCATCATGTTTGTTTCAAGTTTTGTGATGTATTAGGTATGGACGATGAATTCATTCATTTCTTGCATCTACTTTATTCATTGGCATAGTTTTCTGGCCTTTATGGTCAGTGGTTGTTTTACCACTGAGCACTTTGGTTGAGTTGGTGTGTGTGTGTATGAGGTAGCAAGTTTGTTTCTGATGCAGTAGTGATTGGGCCAGTGCTGCATGTGCCATTGGTTGCCAGTGGAGACTGGCATATCTTTCTAATGTGTACCTCTGTCAGGTTCCAACCTGGGCAATTTCCAAGCCAGTATCAAGCTGTGAATGTGTAAATATCATTTTTGCTTTCTTCACAAAAGTGGATATGCTTTTATACCTAAAACAGGTGTTTATAAATTAGGTGTCCCTAACATGGGGATCATATACTGTTTAAGAGTCTGCTTGTGGGTCACTCTTTGCTTCATTTCTCTCCATAGACTTTACTGGTACAGATGGCCCTACTAGAATCTCATACTCCCACTGGCATTGTTTATGATTCATTGTAACTACTGAGCTCTCTCACCTCAACAAGGTGGTGACTAGTGAGAGAGTTATTATTATTTGTTATAGCTAAGTAGTTTTTGCTGAGTATTTATATAAAATATTTTAGGTGTAAATTTAAATTGTAATAGATTTCTTTTAAACCCCTTTTTTCTGATAAATAAAAGTAAAATCTAACTTTACTTTTTTAAACCAGAATACAGTAAAAACAATTATGTGGCAGAATGCTGAAGGCTTAAATTAAATTAAACACATTAAATACTTATTTTACTAAATATTTTGCACTGAAATGGAGGTGGATCTTATATGCTGTAAAATACAATTATCTAAAGATGATTGAATTTCTATAATTGAAATTTTGATTACAATAAATAAAGTTGCAGGGACTGTACAGGCCAAATCCCTTTTTTTGGAAGTTTCTAAGTATAGAACTTTTTCCCTTTCACAAAGTCGTTAGCACTCAACTGTTTTATGACTTTCCCTGAGGTGAGAAATGGGAGGTTTGAAGTTCTGTTCCTAGCTAACACTTTCTGGTTTAGATATTAAATATTTTAAGTTTAATGCATAGTATTATAACGATTTTTTGAGAATCAAATGGAAGGAAATGATGTTAGAATATCATTTCCGATGTTATCAGGAAGTTTCAATTTTATGCTTCGGAAAACTTGCTTATTCGTCTAAATAGTGTCAAATAACGTAAAAATAACAATTTTTTAGCATTTGTGTGCATTCTAGATTCTGATTGGTATAGTTCACAGATGGTGATATGATAAAAAAGTGTGTTATCATTGCAAGTGAGAAGATGTGTCCTGAAAAGACAGTGTTTTCAAACCATCAGTCTTAATTGCATGACAATACAACGGAGAATCTCGCAAATTGTGTCAGACATTTCTGGCCAACTTAACATTTTAGTTGCAAACTGTGCTTATTTTTCTTTGGCTGTGGACGAATCCACTGACATATCATCAATCTATGTGGACGAATCCACTGACATCATCCAGACTAATTCAAATGATCTATGTGGACGAATCCACTGACATATCATAATAAACACAATCACTTGTGCTGTAGAAGTGTTTCACTAGATTTTATTGTGAATGAAGAATTTCTTGGCATCACTTCCTGGACATACAACTGGTGCTGACTTACTTACTGGTTTATTGAGCTTTTGCAACAAATCAGCACTGGACTTTGACAAGCTATCCAGCATTGCCACTGATGGAGCACCATCTATGGTTGGACGTGAGAATGGCATGGTCACCTTGCTGAAAAACCACGTTGGGGACAGGCAAAAGAAGTTAGTCCAGTATCATTGCATAATTCACCAACAGCAACTTTGTGCAAAGAAGCTGGGATTTGAACACTGCTGAAAGATGTCTATGATACTGTGAACTTAATCCGCCATCATGGATTCAACCATCAACTCTTTGCATCATTTCTTGAAGAAATAGATGCTGATTATGCTGATCTGCCCATGTATACCGAAGTTCGTTGGCTGAGCAATGCAACAGTCCTCAAGAGATTTGTGGAGCTATTGGAGCCTATTATCACTTTCCTCAAAGAATGGGGGAAAACTACAAGGAATTTGGAGGGACAAAGATGGCAGTGTGATTTAGCTTTCCTTGCTGACATTACTGCTTATCTAAACGACCTTAATCTGAGATTACAGGGAAAGATGCAACTTGTTTCTCAGTTGGCAAGTATCATCAATGCATTTATGACCAAACTAGCACTTTTCAAGTCCCACATGCAATCAGAGAACTTTACACACTTTCCACATTGCAAGGCTATGAAAGAGAAATACCCACATATGAAGATGGATTACTCTGACCAAGTTAACACCCTCCTTACATCATTCAATGAGAGGTTTGTGAATTCCAGAAATACAAGATCTACCTGCAGCTTTTTTCAACTCCATTTGATGTGAAAGTGGAAGATGCCCCTCCAGATGTCCAACTTGAGTTGATAGACATCCAGTGCAGTGATGAATTGAAATCACAGTTTAAAAATTCTAATCTCCACACATTCTACAAAGAATTGCCAGATATATCATTTCCAAAACCGAAAGACAATGCTCGATTTTGTGCAAGCATGTTTGGCAGTACCTATGTATGCAAACAAGCGTTTCCACTTATGAATTTAAACAAGTGCAAAACATGGAACAGGTTAGCCAACGAGAATTTGGAAAATTTGCTAGTTGTTTCAACATCTGCCATTAAATCAGACATCAAGAAGATTGCTGCCAGCATCCAATCTCAGCCATCACATTAATCACTTGGAGGTCCGGCCCCCAGTCAGTAAACTTAATCCTAATTTGGCCCTTCTTCAGAAAAGGTTGTGCATCCCTGCTGTTAGTCTATCTGATGAGACAGTTTAAACAGCGATGCTTAATAAATTGATTTAGTTTAATGAATAAAATAAATCAGTATATTTTTAATAAATTTGTGCATTCATAAGAGTTTTCCATTCTAATACAAATCTCTGCCTTTCTTTTTAAATAGATCTTTCATAATATAGATTATGAAGAAATAGACAAAAAAATTAATGATTTTCAAATATGAAAATGAAATATACTTAGTATAATACAGACTAATTCAAATGATCTAAATTTCAAATCTGTAAATATATAATAAACTAGCTGTTACCTGCAACTTCGCCGCACAGATTTTGTAAGCAAACACCATTTATATTCAGTATTTCAACAACCATAGTAATTGTTATATAACACCCACCATTGAGAATCAAACGAAATGTTTTCAATTTGATCAATTTTCTGGAACATTTACAATCGTTCTATAATCAAACCAATATGTAACAAAAATTACAAATTTAAAACGGTTCAAACATTTGGTTAAAAACTCAAAATATATAAAAATATTTATAACAATGTCTGAAATGTTGTCAATTTAATACACCTAAGTACTCAATAAAGACTAAATTAGTTGTAAAAAATTGCATCTAAAATAGTATAGTAGAAGCTGTTCTTCAGGTTAAGCCTTAATGCTCTCCCTCTCTCCACACTAAGAAGGGAATTTTGAAAAATCCCTTCTTAGTGTGTGTTTCCATGTTTCCAATTTGGTACCCTAACCAAATTTCACCTCTCTAGGTTCAACGGTTTGCCCTGGGCGATGATGATTTAGTCAGTCACCCAGTTAGTCAATCAGTCAGGACAAGTAATTTTATATATTTAGATATATTGGAGAATTATCAATCACCAATAATATATATGAAATAAAAACATGAAAAGACAGTTAAATGCGTAAGGTTATATTGTAGAATTAAATAATAAATTATGTTTAAATTGAAAATGTAAAAATTTTACGGAATTTTGTATATAAAATTTTTTATTATATTGAAGGATTTAAGATACACAATTGCATATATTTGATTAAAATTATTGACTTATTAATTTATAGTATCCTCAGTCACCACAAGGAAATCCCCTTGGTTCTCCTATTCCTGCTTCCATCAACAGTGGTTTAGAATATAGTCTTATTGCACCATTACAGCGACCCATGGTTCAAGTTACAAGTCGGCAAATTCAAACCGACTTAACTATAAATAAAATCAAAGAGTTAGAAAATAAGTCAGCATTGGATTTAGAAATGAGAGATAATAGAATAGACGAGTTACAAAGGGTAAGCTAATAATAATTTTGAAATATTTTTACAAATATAAAATATTTTAAAACTACTTAAGGATACCAAAAATATGATTTACTAATTACAAATATATTTGAGTATAATTATTAATTATTTTACAACAGATCTCATTTAAATGATCTAATCTTTCTGCTCGGAATTATACTACACCGGGTTAAAGTAAACAATAAACAAACATTCTGGGAACCTGTTGCCGGTATGCTTCTTGGAAAAAAACGGAGCATTACGAATGTTTTCAAACTTGAAAGTTGTTCTTCAGGTAACTGACTACTGTTAAGCGAATGCAATTCAAATTCAAGTCAAATTGGAATACCATTCAGAATTATATCACGTGGATTGATGACGTCATTCACGCATGCACCTCTCTGCCAGTAATAGACAAAAACTTATGATAATTTACAACCGGCAGAGGGGTGCATGCGTGAATGACGTCATCGATCCACGCGATATAATTCTGAATGGTATTCCAATTTAACTTGAATTTGAATTACATTCGCTTAACAATCATCAGTTACCTGAAGAAGAACTTACAAGTTCAAAAACGTTCGTAATGCTCTGTTTTTTCCGAGAAGAACACCGGCAACAGGTTCCCAGTACATTTGTTTATTGTTTAATCTTTCTGCTCATCTACTAGTAGAATTACAATTAGTATTTTTTTCACTAACATATTTTGTTAGTAGTTTCATGTTTAACCACTCAACAGTGAGGGACAGATATATCCATTAAATTCTTTTGGGGGTATCGCCAAAAACTGCCACAAAAAAAATTTACATAAAAAATGAATTATGTAACAATACTTTTCTTTACTAGACATAACTGTTTAAAAAATCATTTTCCAAAATGGTAATGAGAAAAAATGCATGGAAAAATACTTTTAAAATTTCCCACGTTTATTCTCTACTACTTTGGGGTAGCACCATACCTGACTGAAAAGGTTGATACTATTCTGATGAGAAATTTTTTTCAGATCTTTGTCTGGATATTTTTCTGCATTGTCTGTCTTAAGTATTTTAATAGTTTTGTTATTTTGATTTCCGGCAAAAATTTTAAATTTATAAAACTTTTCTTTAAAATAAAAGCACCAACTATCATATTCCATAACCTGAAGATGGCAGTGAAAACATTTGTTCTTATAATAAATTTTTTCATTTTAATTGGATTACAGGTGATAGTTGGTGCTTTATTGTAATCTCATCCAGTTTTGCAATATCTTTTCTTTAAAATTTTTGTTTTTTATTCCTTAAAAGTGAAATTGCAACACCACGAAGGAATATACTTAGCCATATGCAAATTGCTGGATCAGTGGCGGTGACAGAGGTATGCAAATGTTTGCATACACACATGCATGTGCTGTCACGTGGTATCCAGTTTCAGGCTATAACAACCAACAGACAGCTTTGGTCATAAATGCTATCAGCAATGGTTTGCAGCTTTGAACTTTCAAAGAATCATAGAAAATGCTTTGAAGATGACAGTGAGCTGAATACCACCAGTTAATGGCTGGGGAACGAGACCATATCCTAGAGCTGCATGACCTCAACTTGTCAATGCACACTGTTGCCATGTGTTGGGCACAAAGTGAGTATCATCTAGCAATGTGTGACATGATGGAACACGGGAACATCTGCAAATACTGAAGAGGAAGTGGATTGCACTGGTGCAATCCACTCCCTCTTCAGTATTGTTTGGCTCTTCAGAGTGTAAAGTACTATTTTTAATTTGTTGCTCTACAACGATATTTTTCTTAGAGCCGGGACCTAACGGGTACTTTACGCGGGTTCGCGTTTGTTAGTTGCCAGGCCTGGACTTTTAGCGTGCACCGAAATAAATTAAGGACAAAGTTAGTCACAAAAAAATCTCAATAATAAATGTTTAATCAAGTTTAACCAATACTATGTACAAGATTTATAAACAAACAACAAATTTATTAATCAAAAATCAAATCACAAATCAACCCGACAAACTTAAGTCTTATTCTAACTTAGAACTATTCCCCTTGGAATTCCGACAAAACAAAATCCAATTCTTAACTTAGATACAAATTCTCTTATAACTATCAATCCTAACCGTCACCTCAATTAATACTCGGAACCTTTTCTTCTACTCAAGACTTTCCTATTTCCAAATCACCAAAATCGAACCTTCAATCTCCTACTAGGATTTCCTATTCGACACCTATTCACTGCTACCAGCAGACCAACGCTTTCGGTTCAGGAGCTCACCTCTTCTGTCTTCACTTGAGCTACTGTACTTATAGTATGAGGTGACGTCACAGTTCTACTGTAGCCACTCCCCTCATTTACATATCTACACGTAACATTGTTTTCTCTTCGTTATCTGGTAGCTTATTTCTCGACAATACTTTGTTAACCTTTTACAGCATTTCTTTAACAATTATCGGGATGTTTTGTTAAGGTTACACAAGTTCCTAGAAAGTCTATTGGGGTGTCCCCCCCTTCAGTGCGGACTTACAATTCTGCCGCTCGGGCGTGCACGTGAGTGCAATGCTAGCTATGGCGCTATCGTTTCGTCGTCGGTGAGTTGGTTAATCTTTTATCTTCTCGTTTTGAACGTTAGGGTGGTGGGTGAGGAAACCTTCGTCCTAACCAAACATAAGCCCCAAACAAAGATATAATAAAGCAAAGTAAAAGTAAACTAAAAATAAAGCACGGACTTGGTTCCTTACACCAGCTGTTCGGCAAATCTGCAAGTCTGTGTGCTGTCGTCAGACAGCACACAGACTTGCAGATTTGCCAAACAGCTCATGAGGACTTGTTTGCTTCAGCACATGACATCTGAAGCTGCCTGTTGCTATCAACAGGTGCATCTGTGTTCACCTAAACCATTTGCATCAACTTGCATGAAATTGGGATGCATGCATGACAACTAGCATTAATTCCATTGGGATACCATTAATCACTTGACACAGGATTGCATATCTGGCATAGTGTCATTGTCATCACAACTGGATCATTGAATGGCATCATATATTGTTTATGAATCCAGCTTCTGTTTTGGATGAATGATGGACATGGATTGGTATGGTGGTATCCTGGAGAACACTACATGTTCCAACCCTTTTTGCCAAGTGTCACACTGAGCATTATGTTCGATCAGCAGACAGTCCTGGTGCATATTTCCAGTATTCTGAAAGCAGACCAGTACATCACATGAATTGTGGGGCTTGTGGTTTGGTCAATGGTGCAGGCCACATCCAGCACAGTGTTCCAGCTAGGCAATGCCCAACTGCATATCACACAAACTCTCACTAGCCTGAATGGAATTTATATCCTTCTCTGGCCAGCAGCTTCACTAGATCTCTCTCCTGTCAAACACCTGTGAGATCTCATCTGATGTGAGGTGCACTGGGAACTACCATCACATAGCATAGACAGTATGCATGCCATAGTGGACATAACTTGGCAAGGGATACCTCAGGTCACCATTAATTATCTCATTGATATTATGCCTCATCATATAGTGGCCTGTATAGCTATCCATGGGGGCCATATTTATTACTGAACTAGCTGCAAGGACCCGCTTCGCTGGGTTTTTATTTGTATGTAATATAGTTTTTTTTTATATATATATAAAACAGTTTTTTTAAGTAATATAGAATATAGCTGCAAGGACCCGCTTCGCTGGGCAAAAAGTAACAAGTGAAGATTAAGATAATTACATTATAGCCAATCTTACCCATTTTTGCAGAATGCAAGAATTAGGTCCCCCGTTTCCAGACTAATTAGAGACCTGGTCACGATTCTATTTCTGAACGTCTCCTGTTCACGTCCAGTCAAACGAGCTATTTTCAACGTTTCTGGAACATTTACAATTGTTCTATAATCGAACCAATATTTGAATTTTGTGTTCGAATTAAATTTGAATAAATTCGAACATAACATTTGAAATAGAAAACCACTTTCAACCACTTTCAGCCCCATATCTCTCGCACCCTTATAGCTATTGAGACACAACCCCCATAGTGCACGAATGGAGACTTGGGGCTACTACCACATACAAACACCATTCACATGCGATGTGTAGTTTTGGCGGAAAAGTGAAATATAGGGACACACACATCCATTTTTATATATATATATAGATAAACAGATATCTGTTGCATATCTCTGTTGTCTCTACCAGTCCTGCAATGTGGATGTGTGTATGCACATTTCTGCGTGGTGTTGTGATTTCACTTTTGAGGAGTGTAGGAAAAATATAATTTTTTTTTTTTTAAATTAATAAATGTAACAGTTAATTAAGCATTACATACTCATTTCTTTCACTTCTATTGAACCACACAAATCACTGTGCACCAACTTCAAAACTTCATATATATATTTAGATTTTTATCTTTCCTTGAATGAGTTATCTACTTGTTTAGTTTTGACACTATCAATGCCAGAATTTTTACCAATATTATTTGCTTTGAAATCAATATCTATTGTCATGACTTAATTTTTTTCATACTTTTTTCATTTAAATCTAATTTCCTATGCCATAGTTCTTTATTTTATACAGTCATATTTGTCTTGTTTTTATAATCTGGCAAGAATTTAAATGCAAGTCAATTATAAAATTATACTCAAAAAATTGTTGACAAGAATATTTATAAATGATTTATACCTAAGTGATAAATTATTCTTGTTAAAAAAAACTGTAGTAATTAAATATAATCGTTTATAAAATGTGGTTTATGGTAACTTTTGAAGAAAATGCTATTTACTAATTATCATATACTTTTATTTTTTGTATGATAATCTCAGGATAATTTACTAATTTTAAGAGGTTTGTTCCTATTGCAGGCCAGTGAAGAATTAAAACGTCAGATTCAAGCTCAACAAAAATTAATAGAAAAGCAAAAAGAACAACTAGCTAAGTGTTTAGATGTTACTAAACAACTTTTAATTGAAAAGGTAATTTTTATTAACGGTCATCTGTTTATTAATATAAATTGTATACTTTTTTTTTATGAGAACAATACTTTATGCACCTTCACTTTTAATGAATTTAATGTGTTAATGATCATTAATGCATTAATTTCATCTATGATTTTGATGAATTTAATGCATTTGTCATATATTATTGTTCATGTATAAAGTTAAAGAAAGAACTATAAAGTTTTGAGATTTTCTTAAACTAGTCATCAGCTTTTATATAATGAATGGTAAACTTTTAGAACATCTACTTTATAACTTTATATTACAATGTAATATTCAGTTTAAAGATTTAAATAAAAATTTAGAATTTACAAATTCAGTTAAAAATTATTAAATTTGGAAAAGTAGCAAATAGTATATTTGTATATGTGATATGTCTTAAAAAATGAAGTATGAGGCTTATATTTCTTGTCTTGTTAAATATAGAAATTTGAGTTTTTTGGGCATATTAGATCAAAAAATTACAACTGTATTTTCATATATTGATCTTCACTATTAAAGGTTAAATTAGTTAGTAACTTAAAGGTTTTGAATGATAAACGTATTTTGTAGAATATTATTTTAAAGAATTTTTAATGCAATATTCAATGGTGCAATCAGATTTGAAATTGATCTAATTATTCAGAAAAACCCTATTAGATTCAGAACATTTATTTTTAGAATAATCACTATTATTCATGATTAAATAAAAGTCCCTGAATATTTAGCTTATTCATTTTCTTTAACAATTATTCATGCTAAAAAATAGTCAAGTATTGAAGTAAATAATTTCTAAAACAGTGTTTGAATTTAATTCTATATAAACAATATAGATTATTTTTTCATTCTCTAATTTTATTGAAAGATGCATAGTAACATGATTTTTGTTATAATTATTAATTTTGGATATAATAACCATTAGATACTGATTAATCACACATCACAAAAATCTTTATTAACTACTTTAAATCCCTGTATGCAGTTTAGTGTTTACAATGGCCTTCCTCAGCCAAACTGCAATTTTTTCCTCAAGAACTCAACAATAGATATGTTATGCTTATTCTGTTGTTCATCTTTGATTTTAAGTTGCTTTACTAACAATCAACATGGACAACAATAATAAAATAACTTGCATCTATAATATGTATAAAATTCCATTATGTATAAGGTTTTTTTTATGTATTATTATTATTGTCAATGTTGTTCATCAGTAAAGCTTTTTAATGTCAAATATGAATGGCAGAGTAAGTATAAATATATCTATTGTTGAATTTTTTTAGGAAAAAAATCACAAACATGTTGAGGAGGGTCATTGTAAAGGTCAAAATGCATACCATGAGTAAAAATAGCTAAAGATTTTTGTGGTGTGTGATTAGTCTATATCTAATGGTTATTGTAACAAAATTTAATAATTATATAAACATATACACAGACAAAAAAACATAAGAACAAATAGTTTTTGATTTTTCCTTGTAATATCTGATTATTTTAAAGAAAATTTTCACTGAAAAAAATTTACTTACTTTCACCTTTAATATAACTTATAGATAGTTTTTCTGGTATGATGTCTGAATGATTACTTTAATTTCAAATCTGATTGTTAGAAATTTTGGCATTACAATTGTTCTGACCTGTAATGATCAAAGATCAAAACAGCAGGAAAATCCTAAGTTTGAAACCTTTGGCTTATTAATATATCTAAACTTTCTATATCAGGGTCAGAGGTATACTTGAAAACCTGTCATAGTCTTTTTAAAGAACACCATATATTAATGGTTACCATATTCAAGTTTTGGATATCAATTAGTAAAAGTAACATTAGTTTTTATATGTTAGTGCATATATCTTAATATTTACAAATGAGTTGAAACTTTGTGGTTATAAACAGAGATGAACTGTTATTAAAGAAAAGTTATATAGTCAAGTCCACTTAAAAAATACTCTCAGAATTACTATGTCATATTCTTTATCCAAAGTACACCCAGAGGGTTGTTAATAGTATTATACAAAGATCACCCAGAGGGTTGTTAATAGTAATTTATTATCTTTCATTTTTTCATGTCTTAGGAGCTTTATATAACTTATAACACACTTGGTAACATAAAAATTCATTATCACACAATTTTACTGTACTTACTTACATATTGGTTTCCATTCCTATATCATCAGTAGTTGATGCAGAAGAACTCAAAGGAAGACTGACTGAAAAGTTTGAAATATTTGAATAATTAATAAGGACTTTTATCAACATGTGCATGGCAATTGTGTTGTATATGGTCCAATAAACCATATTTATCATCATAATGTTTTTAAAAATAACATTTGAAATTCGAACATATATATTTTAATTTCTTTTGTATCGATGGTGAGGGCTTAAACCAAGGGTCGCCAAACTTTTTTGATTGTCAATCCCCTATAAGTTTTCGAAACCTCACAATGATCCCCACCAAAAAGAAATGTATTAAAATAGTAAGTACTTTGTTTTGCTTGTAACAACAAGCAAAACAAAGTATTTACTATTTTAATACATTTCTTTTAATTTTGCATTTTTTTTTATTTACTGTATATTTGTTAATAATAATTTTTGTAACTGACAATCAGTGAGACAGATAAGCTTGATCCTTAGCTCCCCCTTATCCTTAGCTTAAGCTTGATAATTGACCCCCATTAATGTTATATCGACTACTTTGGCGACCCCTGGCTTAAACCCTTGTAGTCCTTCTTTGATCAACCCTTTATATCATCAATTTTATTGTTTTGTTGAATAATTTGTAAATGCAGTATATTTATTAGTCAGATTGCTTTCACTTCTTACCAGAAATACATTAGGTATTGCATTAGACATTACCTTGCAGTTTAATGGTTTAATTATGAAATTATAATTTATTAATATAGTAAGTAACCTAGCTGAAAAGATGTGAACATCCTTGCTCCAAAATATCTTGATGCTTTCTCATGGAACGTACAGTATAAAAACAAATAAGTACAGTATCTTGTTAAAGTAAGGTCATGTGACCTGGTTGCTAATCACTTTGCTTTGTTCAAACATGCAATCCATGTTGTTGTTCATATATATTTTATTATATCTTTTTAATATGTAATTGCTTTTCATGTGTGTCCAATAAAACCTGTTCATTATGATTTTGTAAGAAATCTTTTGACTACAAGTGTATTAGAAAACTGACCAATGGAAAGTTTCATCAAATTTCCAGATAACATATATTATAATGTAGGTTACTGTAAGATTAACCCGTTCTTGACAGCCGGCGTATAAATACACCGTTGCATACACTGCAATTTTTAATGTTAATGTTTAATTAAACATAAAAAATACTTAAAACTGAAAAAAAAAACGAAAGAAATGCCTTAATTTTGAAGAAAAAGCTTCAAACTTTATTTTTTATTGTCTTGCCTTTCTGTGAAATTTGACACTGATGAGTCATTGTTTACACAGCTGGATGACCTTGAACACAGCTGGAGTTGGATTTCCCAGGACATTCTCATAGAAGTCTCGGGAGGCGATGGGTTTATAGTAGGGTGAATAATAGCTGGCCGTATATTTTTAAATATTTTTAAAAAATTAAAATTTTTATTGCAATTTCCGACCCTCCCCTAGTTAATTAAATTTATATATAATAAAATCTATTAATTAAAAAAAATTAAAAAACTATTGGAGGTCGTTTATGACATCAGAAAGTAGCTTTAAATAACTTTACCGAAGGAAAATCCGTGCCCTAGAACTTTAGAACGATGAATTAAATTTGATTAAAAAAAATCCCATTAAAAAACAATTAAGCCTTAATTGAGTCTTATTAAAGACTAATTAAAATCGCGATAAAATTTTTTCGCGCGGGAAAATTTTTTTGAAAAAATTTGGAGACTTAAAAAACATTCCAAAAATTCAAAAAAAAAAAAAATTTTTAGGGGGCTGAAAGGACCGAGTTTTATGTAATGCTATGTAACCTGCCCAAGTTAACTCGGGATATCGGTTTAAAAGGGTTAAAGATAGATTCCTATATATTTTTCTTTGAATAGTGTGTTTTATGCAGACTATTGCTGTAGAAATGCTGTAAAGGCAGTCACTTAAATGGATTGCTCTACTATTTAGTGCTCTATTAACAGCAGACCCAGTAATGTAAAACATAGGTGAGAAAATTAGGAACATGGGAGAGTGCTCCCTTATTCAGTGCTGTGTTAAGTGGATTTGACTGTAGTATATATTTCCAAACTTTTAAACTTTTTTTTAATTTTAATATGAGTATATACTTACTGTCATATTAATTTATATTATTAATTTAAACTTTATTACATGAATGTTATTTGCGTTTCATTTGCTTTATCTCAATAATTTGAATTGGTTAAAATATTAATTTATGTTACTTTTGTTCATAATTTAACTGAGAAAAGTTGTTTTAAAAGTCAAAACTGTTTGTAATGTAATAAATTATTTGAAGGTGCAAAGATGCTTACCTTATGAAGGATTAAGCATTAATAACAACTTAAGTTGTTATTAAAGTTTTGTTATTATTATTATTAAGACACTAAAAACTTGCATTATTGGAACAAAAAACAAAGTACTGTACAGTAAATAATAATTTAAGCATTTTCATTCTGCAGTGTTATGTCATCAGGGATAAGGTTACAACATAAATTGATAGAAGGAACATTCTGTAACATTTTAAATTAAAAGCATGATGAAACTTTATCTCTGGAGCACTCTATGTAAACATCACATCAAAATTATTTTTCCTAGATTTACAGTGGAGTCCCATACAACGTGGGGATAAGTTATAGGAAATCTCGTTATTGAAACCTGCATTATCACATAATTTATATGAGTTTAAACCTAGGTCTAAAAGGTGGAGGAAAAACATATGCCTCTAAACGACAAAATTCAAATTTTGTATATCTACCAGTCACCTGTTTTACGGGAGTTTACTGTAATTTTATTTAAACAATTTAACATAAAAATGCAGTAAAACCTGTCTAAAATAGAACCTGAATAAAACAGAAATCTGCCTAAGTGGAAAAAGTTCTTTGGAAAAAGAGTGATTTTTCTGTGTTAAATTTGTCAAATGCTGAATAAGTTTTTGGTTACAAAGAACCTAACCTGGATAAAACAGAAAAGATTTCACTTGTAGACAAATAAATAATATTGGTTTCAGGTATGATGGTTATCAAAGAGCTTGACAAAGTGTATTCTGAAAATGATTTTTGAGCCTTGTCAGAGAAACAAAGGATATAAGGACACAAAATCTATCTGTTAAATATTAGTCTTTGATAGAATTAACTAGAGGCAAAATCAATTACTTTTAAGAATCTAGAACTTTCAAGAATCAAATGAATTTTTGAGAACAAGCAATGAATATAATTTGTGAAAACAATGAGAATAAGGTAACATATGCTACCACTTTGCCTTGTTTAGAATAGTTAATGACTAATATTTGAAAAAGTTGATTTACATTGTTGGTTATTACAAAGATTAAAGTAAACAGTTAATTAAAATATTAAAATTCCTTGAGAAGGCAGATCACATAATAACTTGGTCTTTGTATTACTGTAATGCAATTAGAATTTCTGGAAAACAGCAGCTTGTTAAAATAGAGTTAAATTTAAAGCAAAGAATTTTGATTGTGGTGTTTGCATAGAGTGTTTTACCAGAGATGAAATTCCATTTTTCTTTTTGAATTTAAAATGTTGCAGAATGTTTATTATAATTTAATTTTTTTTTTCTTTTATCTATGAAATTTTGAGTTATGTTGTGGCTTTTTTCTTATTGATGGACTGAAGAACTATTCAAGCACTTAGAAATTGCGATTTAATTTGTATTTGTGCTTCAATAAAGCAGTTTTTGAAGTTTTATTTAAAATTTTTGGAGTGTTTATAATTATTGTCATATTTTAATTTTGTTTATCCTTTTCAGTCAATGATGGAAAAAAAAGCAGCGAGACAAAAATGTATGCAAAATCGGCTAAGGTTAGGTCAATTCATAACACAACGGCAGGGAGCTTCTTTTGTGGAAAATTGGGTTGATGGCTATGCATTCACGGAGTTAATTAAGTAAGTTTTTTCTGAAAATATTTCATTAATATTAATAATAATAATTTTCTTGAAATCATCATATTGTCAAGTTGAGAGAATATAAAAGTTCTAAATATCACTTATGGTAGCTGTTATTACGTTTTATGAATGTATGTCTCTTTAATCCGAATGACTATTAAGTTTGGTATAAATATAAAAGTTACAAGAGTTACAATAGACAAAAAAGAATCATAGATAAATAATGATAGAAACAAATTTACATTTTAAAATTATTTATGTTCTATTGATATATACCATATATCTGCGCAGATAAGATGATAGTTGAATCATAAAAAACGACCCCCAAAATCCAGGTTCGTCTTAGACCCTGTACACACTAGGCGTTTTTAAACGCGCATTTAAAAGAACTAAGAGTTCTATGCAGCCGTACACACTCAAAAGCCAAGCACGCGTTAAACGCGCGTTTTGCGAGCGCTTATAGATTTTTGTTAAAACGCGCGTTTTGCGAGCGCTTTACGGGCGCTTTGAGATATATGTGCTGCCATGTTACCGTACATGCGATCGCGCGTTTTGCGGGCGTCAGCCGAGCGCTTTGAGATATATGTGCTGAAATGGAGAACGATCATTTCGATACTGATCTATTTATTGATGAAATCTAAAAGAGACCAACCATTGTCAAAGGATTTTATAGATATTTTAAAAGAATTAAAAAACTTGAATTTATTTTGTCTTAGTTTTGGATACAACGTCGCAAACATTTCATGCGTCAGTCTATCTCGTAATATTGGGTGCACCCAAAATTCTCTTTGCTCCGCCGTCGTTTTTTATAGCGACGATAGAGGAGCCACACAAGCAATCACTTCCACATCCATTTCCAAACCGAGCCAGTGTGCATGCTCCGCTAAACGCTCGTCGAACGTTGAAAAACGCCTAGTGTGTACAGGGCCTTATAGGACAGATACAAAAAAATTAAATTGAACTTTGTATAAATTAAAACCATTATAAAAAACGGACAAATCGTAATTATTTACTAGTAGAGAGTAGGGTATGTCCACAAAATAGAATAGCCTATAGCCTATATGACGATTTTGTGAATAGTCAAGATCATTACCCGAATGCCCAAATCAGTGCAATTGTTTGCAACAATCACAAGGCAGTGCTGCCAGATGCAAGAAAATAAAATTTGTTTATTTGAAAAATTACAAATAGGACATAATTCCATATACACTATACAGTATTATTATACAGATGATGATTGCTGATCTAAACTAAATTCTTAGGCTGTTGATAGTTTGGGGGTTGTCTTATAGGACATATATTTGCTAAAACTATAAAACTTCAACGAAAATTTATACCTCATCTTATCTATGCAGATATACAGTAAATAATATTACCATCATTCAGCTATATATAGCCTGATGATGATAAAGTTATTTACTGAAAATGCTTGCTTTTTGGTTTCATTGTCTTTATACATTAAAGTAACACTAAAAGACAGTTGTCTTTTGTTTTATATATGAGAGAGCATTATCATGGAGTAATGCTGGTGGAAGCTTAAGCTTCTGTTAGGATTGTCATTACTATTAAAGTGTAGAAAAGTGAAACTACAAGTGAAAACATTTGATATTATTTAAATGTAAAAGATTTTTTATGATTTAATAAAATATGCAAAAGTAAAAATTTATAACTTAAAAAGTACTATTATATATAAAAAAAATAATTAACAAAAGAGAGAAAAATTACAGTATAATGAATAATTTGTAATGTAAGCTCAAATTGTTAACTGTGTCACTTGTAGTAATCTTACAAATATTTTTTATTAAAAATGTTTATATTTTCACCGAATGACACATTTAAAATATTTTATCTTTCTGATTTTTGTTTCCTTATAAATGCTCATTATAACATTGTACAATTCTGTTAACACCGAAAATTATTTTTTAATATCAATTGAATTTGATGTAAAAATGTTTTGTGTTTTCTGTCTTTAGACATAAATATTTATATAACGTTTTATATTTAATAATAATAAAATAACTTAGTATCCCTGATCTTGTAAAGAAATTATCTAATTTAAAATTAGAGTCAACTTTTATGTAGATTTGTTTCAAAATTAGGAAAGGTTGAATTACTTTTGACATTTATTTACATTATTGATGAAGAAAGTTTTTGATTGAGGAACAAAAAGAGTTAAATTTAAATTGATTATGAAATTAAATTTGGTACTATTTTTTCTAGAAAACAAGAACAGATTGCATCAGAAAGAGAAGAAATAGAAAGGCAACGAAAGCTGCTATGCAAAAAGAAACCAAGTGCTGGTACGCAAAAGGGTAGAGGAAATAATGGTAGTGCAACCTCTTTGGGATTAACCAATGGTGATTTTGCTAAACCAGATCCTCCAAAAGAGTATGTATTTTAGTTAAACAATAAATTTTGATTTTATTTTTTTTATTTATACTTTTTATTAAATTGTCACAGTTATGAGGGTGCTATATTATATGTATTTTCAAAAATTAATTTCAGGAGTTGTTTTCTTTTAAGATTAAGCTGGCTAGAATATTATGAGCAGGAAGAAATATTAAAATTAAGACAAGCTTCCTTAAAGAAAGAGGATACTGATTTACAGATAGAACTTGAAAAGCTAGAAAGAGAACGAAATCTTCACATTCGTGAGCTTAAAAGAATTCATAACGAAGATCAATCTCGGTAAACATTTTCAGTACAAATATTATGTTTGTTATGATGGTAATAGAAAATAGTTTGGTTTTTAGTTTTTGAATAAAATCAATATAAATTTCTTATAAATATGAACAGATATATTAATATATGTAGGCATTCAAAAAAAAATTCCTGGAAAATGGTTATTAATCATAAACTGAATGCTGTATTTACAATTAATTGATGTAAGTATAAACTTGTTGAGACTTGTTTTATCAGGTATTTGCATCTAGTCCCATCAGACTTGTTTTAATTCCAAAATTTAAAAAATGACATTAAAAGCATTCACTGGCAGTCAATAGATCAAGTGAGACATTTTATAGTGCAGTGGCTAAAATCAAGGAGCTCTGATTTCTACCAGAAGGGCTTAGGAAGGTTGCAACCTACATGGAAAAATGTTTTAACTTAAATGGAACATATGTTGAAAAATAAAACACTAAATTCAATTTGCTGTCATTTTATTTGCATTTTCTTGGAACTTTTTGGATGCTCTTGTATATTCATTATTCCATATTTTTGTGTGTGTTTTAAAAGACAAGTTAAATGGGAGTGGGTTATGCAATGAGATGGGATATATGCCAATTTTAAATTTCAATTAAGAAACTCATTCCTGTGATGCAATGGATGCTTCATAGTCATGAGGTATATAGTGGGGCAAGTTATGCAGCAGTTTTATTTTTGTTTTAACAGTTCTCTGTTGGTTGTATGCTGTCACAGATATATGGCAGTCAGGTTGTGGGTTATATGCACAAAAGTATGGTACTTATTGTTTTTAGGTAATATTATATGATTTGATTATGATAATCTTTTGGCCTGTTTGTTTACATATATTTATTGCTTTTACTCATACAATAATTGTATTTTTTCCTGAAATGTGGCAAAAATTTGTATTGTACCTGTTATATTTCACATTTGGCAATAATGTAATTAAGGATTTTTCAGTTGAAATAGTAAAAATACAAAAGAGCTTTGGAAAAAATCTTCAGATGAAATCCCTCAAATATTCAGAATATAACATTTAAAAACTAAATATATCTATGATTGAGTATTCTTTGAGTATATGTATTTAGAAAAGTCTTAAATCAACAAATATTTTATTAATATAACTTTTTAAAACCTATTTAGTTTTCAAATGTTATAAAAAAAAATATATTCACTACAGCACGATTTTTTAGTGTCTGTTTTGCTATATTCTGCTTCATAATCTTGCTAAAAATTAATTCTGTTTTTTATTTTATTTAATAAAATTGTGTCTGTGTGAAAAAAATTCAAGTTTATTAAATTTTAATATATAGACTAGTTAATAATAAAATTTTTGTTTATTAATATTTTGTAAATATTTTTTAAAAATCACAAAAGTATACCAGTTAGTGCAAATGATACATTCGAGAAAATTGCCATATTAACTGAATTGGTACAAATTAGAGAATGTATATAATAGAAAAATGGTAATTCTTTTGAAAAGGGATATTTTTAATTAAAGATAATTAGAAATGACTTAATAATAATTTATAAAATACTTAATAAACTACATGGGAAAGAAATGAAAAGATGCTATTAAATCTAACTTTTTATTAATTCATTTTGCAATCAAACTTTTTAAATGATATAATTAAAGGAAATATTATCAAATTTTGTTTGAAATTACCTTCCCTTTTCTGTATGAAGCTCTTAGTAGTAGTGAATTGTGTTTTCTAATGCTGTTTTGTGTAAATGCAAACTTCTTAATATGGGTCATTATTCAAAATTATGCCAGATATGGACCTTTTTAAAGATATATACCAAAAAGTCTAAATCCTGTGGCACCAACAGATAATGGATAATATAATTAGTGATGAGTGGTTAGACTGAGTGCTGCTAATTATTTTGCCAATTCTTCTCAATTTAAATTGGCAGCATTGTATAATACAATATTTTCTTGTTTTAAAACTTTTAATCATTGAAAGTACAACTACAAATTTTTCTACACTTCCAAAACGATGTGCAGATTTTATTGAAAGTTGTTAGTGCATTTAAAATGATCTTAATCTGATTTTTATCATTTACTTACATTTATGCTACTTATTACTATAATTTTAAAAATAAATTTTAATAAAGTTCTCTTATATGTATTAGGTTGACAGTGACTGTATTGTAGGGAATCATTGTGTATTAATTGAATCCTCTAGCATATATTATAAACTACAGTATAGTGAATTCCATACTAAATGAAGTTGCACTAAGCAAGGTATTCCTGTATGTGTGAATTGGATATTCACATATACAGAATAGAATTATTTTTATGGATCAATGCATCAACTGTACTAATTATGTTTGCTTATCATTTATTGTTTCAAGCTGCTACAGATAATTTTTAAGAAGCCATCAGTAAATAGTGATATCTTCAAACATAAATTTTGTGAAATTCTTGGCATCACATTATAAAATTTGCAATTCACAACTTTTTATTATATTTAAAAGCATTTTCAACCTTTTTAGGCCAGTTCCAGTTACGTTGAATTCTTGAAAATGGACTATAGTTCAGAACATTATAAAATCTGTTTAACATATAACTATAAATAAATAATAAATATAACTATAATTCTGTTACTATGTTATTTAAAAGTATACAAATATAGAATATAATAGAACAATTGTGAAATTAATCTAAAATAAAATTTTGCATGGAAGTTTTTAAATATGATGACTACATTATGATATCATAAACTTCTTAAATGACTACTAGGTGTGAAAATAGTCAAAAATAGAAACAAATTAAAAAATTAAGAGAAGGGTTTTCTCTAAGAAAACTTTTTATGTATGATAAACATTTAGTTATCTAAAGAAGTACTGTGGATTTTTAATTTTAAATAGTGATGTGCTACATAAGGATTATTTATAATTTGCGTTTCTGTCATCTTGCATCATTCTATTAATTAAATTATCAACAACCGTGAGGCAGATAGTAGTGAGGGCTTGTCAGACTAATGATGGACACAACACTCAAATCGAAGTGAAAACGTTTAATAAACACAAAAATGACTACATAAGTATGGAAACAAAAAACCCAAAATGCATTTCGGACTATTTTCTGATAGAAAATAGTCCCTCATCAGTTGGTATTAACTAAAGGTTTTAGTATATTTAAAATTATACAAGGTAAAGGTAAACTTAAAACTATGCCTGCTTATAACTGTTTTGTTCAGCACTCTGTATGTCACGCTACCCTGAAATATTATGAAGATTTATTACACCTGGTCTACACTGATAATGCTTACTGCTCATACAGTTATAACAGCATTTTCATCTTTATATTGTATAGCTTTAGGCATAGTTTTAGGTTTATCTTTACCTTGTATAATTTTAAATATACTAAAACCTTTAGTTAATACCAACTGATGAGAGACTATTTTCTATCAGAAAATAATCTCTCATCAGTTTTGCATTTTGGGTTTTTTCATTTTCATACTTATGTAGTCATTTTTGTGTTTATTAAACATTTTCACTTTGATTCCTGAGTGTTTGTGCCCATCATTGGTCTGATAAGCCCTCACTATTATCTGCCTCATGGTTGTTGATAATTTAATTAATATAATTATACCAAGGGCTAGAAGCAAACTTTTGTAATAATTTTGTTACATCATTCTGTTGCTACAATTATCAGTACAATTGTAGCACACACTTAACATGTAAATACAATCATTATTGTTTTTAGCTTTGTAATTCTTATGCCATAATGGCATTAACTAAATTTGTTTGTTGTTATTGTTTTCTGCATATTTTTTTGTCTTCCTATTTTTTGTTTAATATTATCTGTTTCTTTTAAAAACAGATTTCTTTCCTTTCAAAATATCATGCTATAGTTGTCAATAGACTGTGACATATTATTAGCATGTTTGTTGAGTTTGTAACATAAATTATTGCTTTGTTCTAAAAATTATTTTTTTGTTTTTTTGCAGTATATATTGGTTATCAACTAATAATTATTTGAATTTCTAAAATGTACTTACTAGTCATCACACTTTCTATTAAATAAGATTCTTATGTTTTGATACTAGAATCACTGGTTATTAGATATTAACTACCAAATCTTTTCATTTTGACTATTTACATAATAATTCTGAAAAACTGTTGCTCAAGTTTTACGAGGTATTGTTATATTTTAACTAAAGTTAATGTAAATGAAATCTTTATACATTTTAAGTGTCAAATTAAAACATTTATTATATTTTTTACATATAATGTGTATAATGCATTTTATAGTAATGAAAGAGTCTTTCTGTACACAAGTTTTTAAAATTGATCACATGAATTAAGAGTGTTATTTTGCATTTAGTCATTTGGCTTGTCATTTTGAATATACTATTAGTTTTTTTCTGATATTATCAATGCATATAAACTAAATCTTGAATCTAATGACTATCTTGAATCTGCTTTCATTATATATATACACTCAATGACAAAAATATGTTACACACTCAGATAGAATTGATTAATTACTGCAAAATTCTGTATATGATGGCTGGACTGCTACTATGTTCTGCCATTAGCACTCCAACATCATCAGCTTCATTTGCATTGGTGCTATGATAGAGAATCATGGATTGTCAACATGCCATCTTCAACAACAAATCCCAGTTCTCTTTGCAAATAGATGATTATTGTGCTAGAATGGTGAACTATAGATGAGTGCTTTCATTACTGCTCTTACTTCAAGCACTATTTGCCTTTTGTGTACAACTTACTTTGCAGCAATTTGCCTTTACTGTTGAGCAGCACACTCCCCCACTGCTGGCATGATAATCTTCAGAGCCGTCTCATATGACAGTTGGTTATTTCTAACGATGGTATGAGAGACATTGTTGGCAGGACAGTGTATTCAGGAAATCCTGTGTTCTCATATGATGCCTTTCGTGACAGGGTTGCAAACAGGCATTTCTAATAAGATGCCATACACAGCTAGAATTTTGCAGAAATATGTGTCATGATGTCATACATTGTCTGGTCTC